TCTCTCCCTCTTTCTTTCTCTCCCTCTTTCTTTCTCTTCCTCTTTCTTTCTCTTCCTCCCTCTCTCCCTATTAAATATAAATTATATACAAAAGATAAGTTACCTGAAAACACGATTCAACTTCCACTTTTTCAGATTCAAATCGTGCGCAGCCAGTTGGTTGCAATTCTTCGGCAAGTTCAGCTCCGTCTAGAAATGATGCACAACCCATTGTTTTATATTCTGTCATATGTCCAAGCTTACTTTTGATGGAAGCTTTGAAACAGAATTCACCGGTGCAGGTTGTATTTCGTGATGACACCTACAAAACTATCTTAATCAAATTAGAATGAGCAGGAGTAAAAAGAAAGTAATGTATTGTTAGTGATAACTGCTTGACTAATGCCATAGTACAGCCATATCTCAAAAAATTTTTCAAAAAAGTTGAGAAGAATTTGAATTAACGAATTTTATGTTGGATAGGAGAAATACTATTTTACTTACCATTTCATCTTTCAAGTAAGGAATAAATTTGAATTATTTGCAAACTTCTACCTTAGTTCCCATTGCTTCTAATGTAACAAATGTCTGACATTTCATTTTTTCCGGTTGCGTAATTTCCGGTTTCTCACTGTTACAGTAATCAGTCATGCATACACACGATTCTGTTGCAAGTAATTCATGTGGATCCTTGGAAACAGTATGATGCATGGCACCGGTAATAGGTGGAATCATGCAAGAATCAGATGACCTCCTCTCGATTAACGGTACTGAGGCATTCACACATCCCTAAATAAACCTTTTACTATTTCGCTAACTTCACATTTCACATAACAGAATACTCTAATGATTGTCATTCTTCGAAATTCAGTCTAACTAATACAATTTTCCTATCACACCGTGTAAGAATTTAAACATTCCGATATATAATGTTCGCTACCGAGAACTTCCAATGATATGATTTTAATGTTCCTTCGGACATTAAAATTATAAGAATAAAAGAAAATGATTAACTTTTCTTAAAACCATTAATTCAAAATGTCACATCAAACAAATTAGCTATTGCAGTTCATTTCTCATATTTTCGAATAAATCAGCAATATTACAATATTTTTCAACATGTATTAAAAATTTAGACAAAAAAGAAATTTAGCTTGTCTTTTGTATTTTTATTTTCAATTTTAAATGTTATCTGCTTTTAGAGATCCTAGAATAGTAAAAGAAGGAAAATGACCTGCTCAGATTTTTTAGTGCGATGATTGATAACGTAGGAACACATTTCACCTATGCAAGTTTTACTCTCACAATGAGCCCCTTTACACACGCACGTGATAAGTGGTACCGTTGAAGTTTCTAATCGTCGGATCGCTTTGTCATTATTGCAGTAGTCTCGATCACAAAAACAAGTAAAAGGTTCCTGCAAGGTATTTGATAATAACTCATATTCTTCAAATCCTTACTGATCTATCATATTTTTTTTATTTTTATTACTTTAAATTTGTCAAAATGTGAAGTTCGCAGAGTAATATGTATTGAATTTCTAACTATACCAAGAATTATTAAATGGCAAATTACAGGTTCTCAAAAATGAACTACCCTATAAAAAATCCTCAATAAAATTGCCGAATCTTTTCTGAATGGTATGCAATAAAATAATATTTTCATAATCTCATTTTATACATCAATATTAATCCTTTGGGTGATATTAGAATGTAAAATGCGATTTATTATTATAAACCACATTATTCGTCATCTAATTCTGCCTTACTGCAAAATTCTTCACATTTGTCTTATTGCGAGATTGTTATAAAAAGAAGCAAAATGGAAAGGTTATTTTAATGCTTCAGATAGAAGTACGAAATTGAATGCTTTAAATTCCTAATACAAATAAATGAATAAAGAATTTTTAAAATTAATATTTTTTGTCTGCCATTTTCATCACCATCTTCTGCATTTTCTATCATGAAAGGATGATTTCATGATGTGTAATTTGCTGGACAAATATTGCGTTAATTTAAAATATGATTCAATGATGTTATCAGATTGAAAAAAATCTATTATCGGTGTTTTGGTTTTGTTATTTCAAACTGTAAATTCACTCATTTAAGTTATATATATAATTAAGCAAAAAAAACAGAACCTTGCCATCTTTATCAGCAGTTTCGCAATGATTTCTGATATCTTTTTCCAGCATTCGTCCACTCAGACAACCTTTAACAGTACGTGGTTCTCCCCATTCAACAGTTCCCCATCGTGGCGCATATGTCCCAAGAATACAATAATCACCTTCACAGAATGTTCCCATGCAATCCTTACCAACACAATCCAAACATTTCACCGCAGTACAAAACGGTAAGAAGCACACAGTTAGCAGTACTTTTATCCACTGGCTATTGGTCACTTCTTTTGTTGTTGATGAAAATGAAATAAATAGATGTTGCATCATTTTCAACTGCCTGATGAAGTATGCAAAATAAGTGGATCAATAAATGAAATAAGCGAAGATTTTTATGCTAATATATGTTGTTGACTCTGAAAGTCATGAAAATTGGCTTGAACGCACGATAGATAAATAATAAATGATAACTTGGCCTAAAATATAATCAATTTCATCATTTCTTCCGTTTTCTACTCTTTCAATTCTAAATTAAAAAACTATGCAAGAAAAACCAAATCATTAATTAAACTAACTGTAAGATAAAATTCGATGAAGCAAAAAATTGAGGTAGAATGAAATTAATAGAAGATATGTGAAAAATCTTAATAATGATAAGTGATTAATTGGTTTTTTTCTTCATAAGCTGCTACTCAATCGGCTTCTCATTTTGATTTGAGGAAGCAATTCAACAAAATTTAAATGAATGAATTCATCAATTTTTTTAGGGGAACAAAAATGATAAAACAGAAATAAGGGAGAGAAAGCATATAATATATTTGTGGAAAACGATTGAAGTAGAAATATTACTACTTGGAAGAGTAAACTTTCTTCAGACGCAACTATGCGAGAATGATTCTTAATGCTTATTGATGATCAAAAGCTTCTGATGGAACAAGCATTCTTATATATCATTTATAGAAAATTGATACCATAAGAAGATCGATAGACTAACAAGCAATATACTATTTTCCAAGCAAGAGATTATATCGATAATTTTTTAGGGAAAACAGCAGGCGTCGCATTGTTGTCGTCATAATATTGGCTGTGAAATCTTTTTTTCCATGCCCATCCTAAAGAGAGCCTTATGAATGGAAACGGAAAAGATTATGCTAAAATGATCATTTTAAAGGTACAACACATTAATATAGAAAGAAAAGTTGAGGAGATATAGAAAGTAGAAATAATATTTATGGACATTCTCTCTTTCTACCTCTCTCTCTTTCTCTCTTAAAAGCAAAATCACTTTGACCCAAACGATGAATGCATAAACAAGATGAAAATGCTTTTATAAGATTGAGTTATTCAGAGTTGGATGCAACTTTGGAAAAGAGTGTGGAACAAGGGAGGTGCTGCAAAAAGAAAATCCGATTTTTTTGACTGGCTCTTTTCCGTCTCTGAATCTTTCTTTCTATAGCCTAAACGGAGCCTTAGAATAAAATAAGCCTTAAAAATAGAATGCATGTAGTAGATGAGAGAGTTTACATAATGGCCTGAAGGCACTAATAGTGAGACCTTATGCAGATGTATGGAACCATAGACATAACCATATCGCTTTCTCAGACAGCAAAATCAATCACAGGTGGCCTGATTCATTTGGAAATTCTATCTGAAAAACTCGAAAGAATGATTAAATTCAACGTTCATGCTTTAAAAAAATCCAACAATCTTCAAACAAATATATTCGACCAAAAGAGTCTAACTTCAAATTTATCACCTTGTTTCATTTTTCATTTCATCAATGCCAACTAGCCATTGATAAGAAGCAAAAGAAAAATTTATTGAAAATTTCATTTCACATTTCCATTTCTTGTTGTTTCAGTCTTAAAATTCTAATTAAAATATTATTTTTTCTTTTCTTTGGGAGGAAGGGGATGATTAATGCAAAAATGTTACCTCCCAAATGAGGTACAGAGAAGCTGTTAGCAATGATGTCATCAACATAAATATACATCGTTTAAATACAGTAAATAAGAAAACATAAAAACATGAAGATTTTCATCAAAAGAGAAAGAAGACCAGATATAAGAATGCAATAAAGGGGCCTAGGCTAGAGTTACTTCTAGCTAGAGAAATGGAAATGTTTAAGCTAGAAAGGAATACAGTTAGCTTTGCAACTTTCATACTTTTTCAAGCAAATCAAAAATTTAAAAATTATCGTAACAGTTGCCTTAATGAATAGTAATTACAAAAAATGTGAGTAGAATATGCAGTACTCTACGTCTATTAATTATAAGCCAAGGATTGCTAGCTGATTTTTTTTTTAAATATTAGACAATGTTCAGGTTAGCCCTAAGCATGAAGATACTATAGAACATTGAACTGATTGATGAGAGTTTGGGGAGGAAGTTAACATAACATGTTAATATGACGTAAAACACGTGGAAATTTACCTCTATCTTCCTCAAGAAATAGAGTGAACCAAAGTTTAACTTTTAAACATCACGGAAGATACGTGTGGGATGAATGAAATGCTGCAAAAGCTAAATATAGGAACCAGGGAGGATGATCTGAAAATCGAAATAACAAGGTTTAAAGTGAAATATAATACACATTGCAAGTATGTTTAGAAATTAATGTATAATCGTAAACGCTAGGAGAGAAAAATAGTTAAGAGTTGTTAATGTTCTAAGAGGTATCTATCATTCTTTCACGTACCGATACGTGAAATGTTGATTCATAATTGCTTAGATAATGTAGAGAAAATTTGCTAAAATGAAGGATATCATTTTACAAAACTTAAATTTCTACCAAATGAGCAGCTTAGTCGTGAAAGAAAAAAGAATTAATTGACTGAGAAACTTGTCCATGTATATAATTTATCATACACTATCAATTTCAGTCAAACATTTGCAAAACGATAAAGAACATTTATTGAAGTAGGAAATTGAATCAACAAATTTGATATTATCATTTCGATATTTTACTCGCTTTGTCAGTTACAAACATTCAACATTTACTAATTGGAAATTAAATTTTCAATGATTTTTTTTCCCATGCTAATTTCACTTATTGGATGACATACTTTCAAATATTGATACTTCTTTTTTTCTGCCAACAAACTGTTCCAACTTTTTCCTCTAACAGTCACTTCATAGCTTCATAGTTTTTACGAAAAAGAATAGAAATTTTTGACGAACATTGCTTATTCTCGCAATGAAATCAGCATCGTATTCCTTATAATTTGATTTTTTATATTGGTTGCAAAACAAAATCTCATTTTCATAAATTCATTACAAAAATATAGTTTGATTTTTATAAATCCTTCATAGAAGTAATAAATAAAAAATTGATAAATGAGAAGTAAGGGACGATACTAATAATGTTTCTTTCATTGTTGACAGCCAAATTCATTCAGATAAATGGATGAAACTTGTACAGATTTCATCATATAAACTAAAAATATTGCCATTTTGAAAATATTGTCAGAGTATGGTAAGAAATACGGAAATGAAGCAAAGATGAGAGGTTAGTAGGTACTTGAATGACCAATTTCATTGGAAATGGAAAGAAGACAGATGTCACTAATGTCATGAACAATTCCTCTTAATCTCGATCTCTAAGAAGAGTAATCTGAATTCATTAAGAAATTATCCTTCTGTCAACCCAAACAGCCCATCGTTTTTCCGCCGTCATTACAGAATCGTTGGATTTTCATAATGTTAATGTGGTTTAAATTTCACTGAATCATGGTTTAATGCTTTAGATTTAGCTTTAGGGTCACCTACAATCCGTGAAGTGCTTAGGTGTAGGGGCGTTCAGTATTTCCTCATCCGCGTTCATTATTTGTAGTTACCGGTTTTGCTGTTCAAAATTTTAATTGGAGAATTGAGCCACTCTAATATTCAATTTGCATTAAAGCATCTAATTCATTCGATGTGTCATTCAAGCATTGATGGTGTAATGGCGAAAAGGACTAACAGATTTCTGCAGCTGTTCTTTCTTTTATTATGTTTATTAACTATGTTGGCAATTTTAATATATCATTTAATTCTTTAATGTGCTACTCACTACTTTCATCAAAGTTTCAGTCCTTTTTTAATATTTATAAAAAATTCTCATTTTGGCTTCTACGTTTACAAGTTACAATTAGTTGCGAGTGGTTTTTGGCGATTTATAGCCTTCTTAATATGGGATGATATTTAGCGATTCAAGTCAGCAAAAAACCGAGAAGAAAGCACTGTCCAGCAATACATTAGTGTAGTCGTACTTTCTAAAATCTGAATCATACTGGATGACTAAAGCTGACAAGCTTTAATTCTCGAACTACCTGTCCTCTCTGTCTTGATGTGATGAGATTCTCAAGAGTGCAATATTATTGCTCCAGCATTCAAGTATGAGAATTTTTGGAAGCTGATTTACAGTTTATAGGAGACTTTGTTTGAATAATTATCTAGAAGTTTTCTCTAATTACTCTGCCATTAACCTGTCTGTTAAAATAAACAGTATGTCGTAATATTGCTGTTTAATAAAAGAAATCCATACTATCTTTCCCATCTTCTTTGTTGTTTATCATTGATCTTTTGCTTCATTCACATTCAGATACATTTTTTTTAAATGAGATACGTGTTTCGCCCATTTTAGGCATACTTACTGGCAGATTAGTTGATTAAAATTTTTGTAATATGGTGACTTATATGGCACTTTGATATCGTCAGTACAACTGATGTAAGACATTATTAATTAATGGAATATTTAAAGTTACACGAATAAATTTACAAATCATATTTAGATCCGTAATGAAATTTATTAATTACGGAGAGGGAGAGTATATAATGACATATGGTTTTTCTATTTCTGAATGAAAAATAATTTAATTTTAGTTGAAGGCACAATTTTTTCGTATCAAATAAACATTAAACTATTAGGAAGGAAATTTCATTATAACGTCAATTCATTGGGATTCTATTCGTCAATGATTTGCTAGTGAGGGCAGTCCTTTTAGCATAACTGAATGATTAGTAGTGTGAAACAAATTCGAAATAAAGTATTGCAGTAACTTATTTTAGTTGCCTAGTGACTTCAGGCTCGTTCTCTTATCATCATTTCAACCATGCGATGTTCGCCACTTATTGCACTCAAACACTTACTGCTCTAGGTAAGTAGTTCGTTTTTTTTGTTCATATTTCGAATGTTTATTTTTGTCATTGTTTTGTCTACACACATATAAGATTTCTTAACGTTCTTCAAATAACATTAGTCGAAATGTAAAGGTTTTTGAATGTTGAACGTCTAAAAAGGATTGTTTTTCATTCCAAATCAGGTTTGTTTTCTTAAACATTGTTTTAATGCTCTCTGCTCATAGTAACTTTCATCCATTATATTACAGCAATTTTCATCTACCAGACTCATAGGTGTTTTTTATTTCTCAAAAATTTCGATTTAAGGTTCAATTCTTCAATTTTATGCAATTATTTGGTCTTCTAGTTCATTCACTTCTATGCGTTGTCTAATTACTTCTTGTTAGTGTGTATGTATGTGTTTTTTTTTAATTGTTCCTTTTTTTTCTAAAGTTATTTAAACTTTTTCGTCACTTTTGTCTGAAGCATGGTTTCAAATGGAAAATATGGTGTGAAAGTTTCATGACTGTTACATTTTCTGTTAGAGATCTAAAAGAGATTGTTATTATTTGTCTTTTCCGTTTTTCTTTTTTTTTTCTCATTGAAACTTGATTTATTATGAAAGGATGAACTTCCATATTAGGACTTATTTCACGTGAACGCTATCGCTGGTTTCTATAGTAACAGTGATGATGTGATAAAAGAGACTCGTTAAACTCTTTATGCCTTTAAACAAATGGATTGTGCAGAGAGTTTTACGCAAAGAAATAAGTAATTGCGCTTCTGGAATGATGGAATAAATGTAATTAAGGCTGTGGCAGTATTTAATGGAACCATTTATTTGCTTTACGACAGAATAATGGTGTTTATTTCGCTCTATATATGCTTGCTTTGTGCGAAGACAACATTACAGGAGTTTGGAACACCTGTTGATACTTGTCTATCTGCAAATGGTAACCCCTTTCTTGGATAGTAAAAGCAGATAGGTGGAAGTTCTGGTCAGTACTTCCCTACTTCTTTCAATATTCAAAATTGAATGTACACGTCTTATGTTTGAAAGAGTATAATTGAAGTTGTATTGTAAAATGTATTTAATGAAAAAAGCAATATATAATTCTTCAATTACTTCTCTCTGCTCAACCGCACTATACTTTTTGTATATCTCAGTGGTATATATGTGTTTTGGGGATGGGGCTACTAACCTGTATGATAGTTGTCAGTCAAATTTAGTTCCTTTTTGAAAACAGTCAGGGGTTTTCTGTATTATTCATCAAACTATTTTATGTAATTAAGAATCCCGTAATTATTAAAAGTCGGTCATTGAATCTGAGACAGATATCGAACGTTAACAGTGATCTTGAGAGAACTTTTCAATTGTAGGAGCTTCTTATGTTTATTATTCTAAATTATTCTAACACTTTTAACTTTACGTCGCACTATTTTAAAACAAAGTATGGTTTAGTCACTGGAAAAATGTTAGCGTATCGGATTGATTGCGTAATCAAGGTGAGGTGTAGTTTCAAAGGAAAAGAACGGAATACTTTAAATTATGTTTGTTTTCAGAGAGCAACGAAAAGGAAAACGATTGTGAAATGTCAAATACAAAGGAACGAACATTTATATGTATCAAACCAGATGCCGTACAACGTGGCTTGATCGGGAACATTATTGAGCGATTTGAACAACGAGGATACAAATTGGTTGCTATGAAAATGATGAAAGCTTCAAAATCACATTTAGAAGTAAGTCCACCTACGATATGTTTCCCTCTTTCCATCCCATTTCAAAACCCTCGGTTGCATATGGCAAAATGAAATTTTCTGTAAGCATGAAAATGAAAAGAAAATTTTATCAGTGGAAGTCATCATTTCAGATACATTATCAAGAATTGCAAGGAAAACCATTTTTCAAGAGTTTAGTGGATTACATGTCATCCGGACCTGTAGTTGCCATGGTATGGGAAGGCCTTGATGTGGTTAAACAGGGACGGCAAATGCTTGGCGCCACAAATCCTCTAAATTCGATGCCAGGTTAGCATTATTTTCGTATTAATTTTCATTATGCTGTACGCTTAATGGTTAATCCTATGAGGAATCAGTGAAATGGAAAAACTTTCTAATTGTTAAAAAATACAGCGTAGTGAGATGAGGGATAACTCGTCAAATTGTATCATTTTGTTATATTAAACGGTTATGTTTTTATTCCAGGTACGATCCGTGGTGATTTTTCAATACAAACAGGACGAAATATAGTACATGGTTCAGATTCATTATCTTCAGCAGAACGTGAAATTGCTCATTGGTTTAAACCAGATGAACTCTGTGAATGGAATTCAGCAACAGCAACTTGGGTGTACGAATAGAAATGATAATAAAATAAGACAAAGTAGTTTTAGAGATTAATATTGTGTAAACATAATTTTATGCCGTGCAAGTTTTCAACAATATAAAAGCGTAAATGGAATTGAATTCCTCGCGTCAAGTTCACATTTGAAACGAAAGATGCTTCGGATTTTGTACCTTTGACTTAATTATTTAGGAAGGAATAGAGGATCAATATAAGCTGCTTTCAAGATTTTAACCGACTATTACAATTAAAAAACACCATACTTTAGTATTTCACTTATCACGTATAAAATCTATCAATATTCAGAAGGAACAATGTTATCAGTATCACGAATAATGTGATCCATAAGCACTTCCCCCCAAAGACAGTTTCTGTCTAATGGACGACCATCTTCATCTTCAAAATATTCCACATCCAGAATACGATGACATCGAGCGCATTTAAAGCAATTAAGATGATATAAGCGACTACCTGCAGTGCCTAATTGAAATTTAGAAGGGAAGTAGATCTGTTAAGTCTAAGAAGTCCGAATGGGGTCTGCCCAAGGTTAACGTTGGGAGTTAAGATTTTCCTTTGAGAGCTGGTTTTTAGGAGTAAATAGTTAATCTTCGTAAGTGATGGAATATGCAAAGAATCATATCGTACAAGTTTGATTACATGAAAGCGATGCGATCAGACATTATGCAGGTGAGGTAACTGAAAAACGTCCAATTATGGCTGTTAGACCATTGAGTACTATGTCCTCAAGGTTATTAGACCATAGAAACGTGGTAGAAGTACGAACAGAAAGAACGAACCATTTATGACATATTCGTTGACAACAGACTTTTTGCACCTGTAACATTTGGGGCTGAGTTTGTCAAAGCAACGAGTACAAGCAACTTTAGTGCCATCAACGATGAAGCTTTCTTCAATGTCACATATCCGCATGTTGCAATAGTTACAGCATAAATGATTTAAGTGATACAACTGTGCGCAAATCAAAATAGCTTCCTCGTTCACAAATGGTTCAGCGCATTTCGCACAGCGACCTCTTTGAAGCATTTCAAAGTTCATAATTAGAACAAATGTTTCTAATGCCATGAATAATCGATGGAGCCAAGAAAAAGAAATCTAACATCCTGTTCTCTGGGCCACTCAATCCATCTTCCCGTTCCGTTCCGTTCTGGGTTATCACTCATCTCGTCTGGTTCATTGATTTGCACATCGACCAATCTGATTGTGCTGTTCCACTGTGTTTAGATGGCAGATTGGAGCGAGGGAGAGTTGGGAGTTGTGGGCATTGTTGTGATATGATATAATGTTTAGATATGAATGTGATGAAGAGATCGGATGATAAGATGGTTGATATTGCATGATGGGTGATGAGAGTGATTCGAGTGAAGATTGCTTTGTGGTATCCACGCAACATAATTTCAACCCTAAACCACATATTGTTACAGTTGTTAAATCTGATACTGGTAATAATGATTTATTTATTGATTTATATTCTAAGATATAGCTTATTTTACTTCCAGTTCATTTTTGTTTACATCATAACTGCAACTGCTTAATTTTTTCTATAAAATTAGCAGAACGAACGACTTCCACTTTATTCTTTGTACAGGTTTCGGTTTCAATGTCAAGGGACAAGTGAGTGAAGGGGGTCAGTTACGAAGTATCAATGGTGAATTGTATGCTCCTCTACAACACGTAAGCGCAGTACTTCGTGGAGGTGCAGCTGCGAAAGCTGGATTATTGAAGGGAGATCGTATTTTGCAAGTGTAATTTATTTCAATAACTTGACGCATTTCGTACAATTATTGGAACCAGTGTCTTTCATATTTTATTAAAGTAGCTTGCAACCACTTCAGTGCTATTAATACCGTGCTACAGTTCATATTAAATCTTGCAGGAGAGTACTATATCTTGCAGAAATGGTGTTGACGTAGAAGGAGCAACACACAAACAAGTTGTGGAACTCATAAAAGATGGTGGTGACAAGTTATCACTAGTTGTAATTTCTGTGGATGCTGTTGATGCGGAGCGTTTTGAAAATGGTCTCACTGAAGAAAGTTGTGCTTCGTGCAGGTAATCCTTGAAAAGATATTTTTGGAAATATGAGAATAGCCATGTTTTTTTGTAAAACAAAAAAGTTATTTTTGATTGGATATGTTTTTTCATTACAGATATGATTATTCCGAGAAGCGATCATTGCCTATAACTATTCCAAGTCATCAGACAGTAACGGCAAATGGCGAACGCTTTATTGCTTACAATGTGCATATGGCTGGTCGACATCTTGGATCACGACGTTACAATGAATTCGTTCAATTGCATAATTTACTCAAGCATGAATTTATTGATTTTGATTTTCCAAAATTGCCTAGTAAATGGCCGTTTTCATTATCCGAACAACAGTTGGATACTCGCCGGCGAGGACTGGAATCGTACTTGGAAAAAATTTGCGCTGTTAGAGTTATAGCCGATTCGGATATTATGCAAGTAAATATTTGCTTTGTCAAACCTGAAACGTAATCTAGTAAACTAAGTTATGCTCACTTCGTGATATTTCTCTGATAAAAAAGAATTGAGAAAGTACTCGGTAAGCACGACCTCGAAGTTAGAAGTGCTCTTAATTGAAATAATGCGTATCAGTTGAACTCAATGTAATGTTGTTGAATTATGAGTAGTTTATGTTTAATTTACCTATGTTTTAGGAATTTTTGATGGAAGACTCGTTGTCAGAGTGTGCAATTGCAGATGTGCATATTCGTATATTACTGCCAGATGGGAATTCTCTTTTGTTAAATATTAAGCGTCATTGTACAGCAGTAGAATTATATATGGTAATTTTTTATTCTTTCTTACCTGTTGTTCCATTATATTTTTCATTGATTCTTTGATGAAGGGCAATGTAGTTTCGAGTATTCATATTGAAATCATACTTTACATTTTATTCTGCCGTTAGCGACCGTTCTGTTGGTTATATGCACTGTATATATTTCTTCATATACACAGTCGTGTCTATAAATTACAGAGTCAGTACTCTGATAAAGCAGTTTGGTTCGATGAATTTAACTTGGCGGATACGTTTACAATAAAATTTTTACATGGGAAAGTTGTTTATATCTTTTTTATAGGCGACCCAGAGGCGTTTAAATATGTCTCGAGAAGCAAGTAGATATTGCGCATTATTTGAAATGACTGAATGCGGATTCGGTATTCTATTTTGTTGTCGTTGTCTTAGGTGTAAACGAAATTTTTATTGAATAAACTTAATTTTATGCTATTTTTTTGGATGCTTTCTAAGTGAACTTTAAAAAGAAAAAAATTTTTATAGAAGTTTTGTGTGTTTCCAAGTTGCAAATTAAGATGCTAATCTCTTTTAGGAACTGATTTTTTATTATAGAACGGAAGTTAGCAGATGATGAGTATCCACATGCTCTTTATATACAAAATTATTCATCTGCAGCATCATCTTGCATTCTGCTTCGAAAATGGATTTTTGATATCGATAGGGAAATTGAACTTTGTGGACGGTATTTTTTTATATCTTGATTTAGAGAAGTAATTAATATATGATAAATGAACTCAGAATAATTGTGTAGTTCCTACAAATGCATCTGAATGACATCAGTAATTCACATAAAAAATCTCTGTTGATCGGAGTTTTAATTCATATTAGCAGGTCTTAACAAATCTTTATCGGCACTTTAAACTTTTAAATTAGTGTATGTTGAAAAATCATTCTCTTCAAATCATTGATT